AGTATTAACGAAGAAAAGGTTATCTTATTATTTCAGTGGTACGACCCCTTTATTACACGCTCATTATTACTTTATATAATGAAAGCGATGGAAATCAGAGAAGAAATGTTAAGAATCAGACATTCAAAGCAACAATTTTTATAGTGTATATAGTGAAATCTAATAAATTTGAAATCATAACCGTGGTATTTCTATATCACTCTACAATTGACGTATTGGGCACTATTTTAACAGTGGTATTTCTATATCGCCCTACAATTGATGTATTGAGCACTATTTTAAAAATGGGATTTCTATATCGCTCTACAATTGATGTATTGAGCACTATTTTAACAGTGGTATTTCTATATCACTCTACAATTGATGTATTGAGCACTATTATAACAGTGGTATTTCTATATCACTCTACAATTGATGTATTGAGAACTATTCTAACAGTGTTATTTCTATTTCACTCTACAATTGATGGATTGAGCACTATTTTAATACTGGTATTTATATATCACTCTACAATTGATGTATTGAGCACTATTTTAACAGTGGTATTTCTATATCTCTCTACAATTGATGTATTGAGCACTATTTTAACAGTGGTATTTCTATATCATTTTACAATTGATGTATTTAGCACTAATTTAACAGTGGTATTTCTATATGGCTCTACAATTGATGTATTGGGCACTATTTTAACAGTGGTATTTCTATAAACTCTACAATTGATGTATTGAGCACTATTTTACAGTGGTATTTCTATATCTCTCTACAACTGATGTATTGAGCACTATTTTAACAGTGGTATTTCTATATCACTCTACAATTGATGTATTTAGCACTAATTTAACAGTGGTATTTCTATATTGCTCTACAATTGATGTATTGAGCATTATTTTAACAGTGGTATTTCCATATGGCTCTACAATTGATGTATCCAGCATTATTTTAACAGTGGTATTTCTATAACACTCTACAATTGATGTATTGAGCACTATTTTAACAGCGGTATTTCTATATTGCTCTACAATTGATGTATTGAGCACTATTTTAACAGTGGTATTTCTATATCACTCTACAATTGATGTATTGTAGTAGATTAACCTTCATCGTATTAATGTTTAATTATAAATCTCATATAGAGATTAACTATCACCTGAAATGGAAGACAGGGTATTATCGCTAATTAAGCTTAGTTGTTGATTAGAGGGATTTGGCTATAGCTTTGATTACTATGCTGGGTTGCCACAAACAAACTGTTTGTTAGATCTGTATTTGATTATAGATACAGCGTCCTAGAATGGGCTATATAACTCAGCCTCTGCCATATTCTTCAAGTAACAACTGAAGCAATACAAATTATATTATCTAAACCCTGTCTTCTATCATTTCAAGGTAAGGTTCAGTTTATATATATTTATTATATTATATGAGAGCATTGGTAGTCACAGCCTGATAGGGAATCTATAAAAGCAATTAATCAAACGTTATTATACTTTGAGCCTTAGATTCCATACTTGCCTGTTGACTGCCCCAACTGGTGCAACTCGGTGGATAATCTATAAAAGCAACTATTCAATTATATTAAATTGAGCCTTAGATTATCTACCAAGGCTGCATCAGGACTCAATGCATTAACTCACAAGTGCACAAGATAATGTTGGAGTCGTGCCCTAAGAATATTGGCAAGTAGTGCCTCTCGACATTACAAGCGGGTAAACTCTCCCTAAACAATGTTATTTTAGTTAATCATTATGTTCATGACATTTTATATAAACACCCCAAACTTTATATATTATGTATGCATTGAGTATTGAATATTTATATTGAATTTATGTTAATTCTTCATAATTATCATTTGTATTTTAATGTATAGTTTTATAACTTATTATTATTATTATCATGTAAAGAATTAACAACTGAAGCAATACAAGTTATATTATCTAAACCCTGTCTTCTATCATTTCAAGGAACAACCGTAACATAATAACAGGAGCATATAAGAGCTTAGCGGTAAAACAAATAAATACGACAGAAACGACAACTCTTATAGTATTGAGTTCTATTTTATCAGTGACTATATTTTATTAATGTATATTAATATACTATTGCAATAAGCTGAATAACTAATTAAAATTAACTTACCCTGAATACTCATTCTTCATTATTTTTAGGTTTTATTTTTAAAATGGTCGCTAGATCCTAACAGATAATAGTGAAGAGTAGAAAATAGAGTGTAACAATAATCAAGATCCTTAACTTCCTGTAAATAATAATTGTTTGAAGTGTTAATAATCCTATACACCGCATTAAAAAAAAACTAGTAAACTATAGCTTGATTTTTATATGTAAGGTGACTAAAGTTCGTGTTGGGGTCAACAAGATCAAATGGTTGATAATTAATCTAAAATCTTACTAAAATTAATCACCCTTAATCCAGATATTAAGGCGGTAGGAGGCGAATCTCCAATTTGAAATAACCCATACCGTCCGTAAAGCTAAAACAGCTCCGAGCGTGCCACGAGACCTTATCCCAAGGCTTTTGGACCTTTTGAAACTTCGAGCCTGTTAGCTTTCAACCGCTGTGTTTTTAAGCCTAATATTTGTGAACAAGATATTAAGATCTTGGTCAAGTAAGAAATTGGTAATAATCAGATGAAAGGTTTTAGAGTTATTGCCGTTGTGTGTGTGACGATCAGACTTAGTTCATGTTTAAATCTGAAGATAATTTGATTATTTTGTTTAGATAATTTGAAAAGTCATTATTAAGTCTCTAACGACTTTGTTATCATTTCTGACAGCTGGCAGTGGGCGTATGTTACCTTGCTTGGCAAGCTATCGTTATTGAATCCGATTGGTTGTAAATCAAACAAAACACTTGCGTTAAACAAAAAGGTGGCTATGTAGTCAAGGTATTAGACAGTAATTTTGTAATAGCTTGAGTATTGCGAAGATGCTCTCCAAGATCACCACAAGATCATTGAGTGAGGTTAAATCGTTCGGTATTTCATGGCATAGCAAAAACACATATTTATAAGATACATGTTTTCAACTAATGTTGATTTATTGCAAGATGTGGAGGGTCAATTTGGTGTTCCTTGCAGTGACGATATAGTTCGGCTTTTTTTTTCGGTGGACGGGACTCAATTTTTCGGAAGGGAATTGGGGGGGGGGGGGGCTTTTGTTTTAGCTACGGGCCTGTTGAGTCATTGACAAATTTCTGCTCTCTCCACATCCTTGTTATAGACATAACAGGATCCGCGCAAAGTTCAACCATATTGCAAACATTGTTTGATGACGTCACAAAGCGCGAAGGGCCTTTTGTGATAAAGCATATAAATTGGAATGGTGCAAATTGTTAATACCAGTGTCTCCAATTCATATAATCGCTCTGGATTATCCCCCTCTCATTTAATTATTCCCCTTTTGCTGCTTTCAATTTTGTACAAACAAAACAGAAGCAATAGAATTTTATTATTGTTAACATTCTCTTAACATAAACCAAATCACCAATGACATCAATACTTTTCAAAATATTAAAAACAAAAAATTCAATTAGAGGGTGTATTTCTAGTTTTTTAAGCTTAGTTTGGTTTTAACCAAATTCGATTGAATTCGATCCGAATATTAAAAAGAATATTTACTATATTATACAGTTTTAATTCTGCATTTAGACACTGTTATAAATATTTCAAGATAGACAAGAAAATTAACACACACTGTGAATTTAACATACTTTTTCTGCTATGAAATCGAATGTAGAATTAACTACTCGATTTTTTTCGGGCAAGCTGTCAGCTGTAACGTTATACAAATAACATGAAAGATCATTCCCACCCCGCAAATTCAACATTACACAATCCTCCATGTCTAAACATTTCTCAATACATTGCCTTTCATCTGTAACAGTTGATACGAATATAGTTGGTGCATCAAATAGGCTACAACTGAACATTGTTAGTCTTGTAGCGGTACATCGGTCATCGCTCTCACACTCCTCGTCACCTGCAGACCTATTTAGGTTTCTTTGGTTATTAAAAGGTGCGTTTGGAATGCCTTTGTCAGGTGAATACTTGAAACAATCTGAAATATAAATCGGAAATATTAAAACAGTACCTAAAACATGTTGTTACTCAGAGTTTCACCCTATGCGATTATTCAAGCAAGGTTTAGCTTATGCATAAATGATATAAGATAATCTAGACTACATAATTTGAATTGCATGTATTCTGAAGGGGAAATAGACTGGAATAATGAGTCTCTTTTTACTTTTATTTGCTTTGATAACGATGGCTTCTATAGTTGTAGATTTAGGAATGTTAGCACTGTATAATGCTGATTTGTACAATCTCTTGTCCAATTGTATACATTTTCAAAATAGTGTTTGTTTAAACCGTAAATATTGTAAATATTACACACGCACGAAACTCGTAACTATTATAAGAGTACAGGTGACCCCTTTCCTATATATAAAGGTCATTTTGATTGGTTACAATTTACCGCCACATTAGAAGCTATTCGAGTAAAGCGAACCACTGTTCCAGTTATTTTTTTTTGTGAATAGGGTACGTGGTTAAAATGACGAAAATCGTTGTCTTACCTTCACATGTGATATCAGCCTCCCATTCACCAGTTCCAGTACATCTCACAACACCTTTGTTCCCAGTCCTAGTAAATGCAGGGTTACAAGTAAAGTTGTATTCCACTCCAATATCTCTGGACCTTAATTCAGAGTCTATGACACCATTTGCTATTTCTGGATCTGACAGACACTTAACTACAAGAATCAAAAATATAAAATAAATAGTTAAAATTATAATCCATCCGACTTACATTTTCGATTAAGACTCTTGTTCTGGTTCAATTTTAGTTTTTTTTTGTTAAAAGAAATGAATTTTTCAAAAAAAGAAATTATTCGATTCAATATCAATACCAAAATAACATTATAGGATGTCTCGTTGACAAATCCAGTTCCAGAATGGCAACGGAAACAATGGTAGTAATATTTCAGCCTCGAATTTAAGAGAGATGGTAAACTATCTAACCTGGTTTGCAAATTGGTCTTTGATATACCCATGTTTCGTCCACACACCGCATTGCTACTACCATTTGGAATCCATCTCGACATGTAATTTTAGCACCATCACATTGGTCTTGACGGTTAAAAACTGAGTTACTTATATCAGGATTATCAGTACACACTGTAAATTTAATATCTTCAATCAATAATGATGACACTATATGCTTATTTTTCATTCTGGATTATTCTTTCGTATAGAGCGGAGCATACCAAAAGTCAGAATTAACCGTGCATGAAATATGACTATAACATAACTTCCCCAGTTTCACAAGTAAAAGAACTGTGTTAGAGTTTTTATCATATATTTATTTATTTATATATAATTCTGATTTGATGATAGATTTTAATGTCATATACATGAATTCAATTCATTTAACGAACTATGCGATACCTATTCCCTGGACTTAAACCTACATGTCCGTGTACGCGCATTTGTTAAAATCATTTCATCTCAAAATGTTGTTTTGGATTTCGGGTTTCGTTTTGCGGTTCGGATCGTTAGTACTTGGTTTATTTATAATATGTAACAATTATACATTTATTATCCACTTAGACTCTCAAATGAATGACATTTCTCACAGAAATAAATTATCAGTTTTTAAAATTTTGACAAGCCTTAAACAGAGGCCCGAACGGAATCCATTTCAAAACTGTTTAGTTTACAGAAATGTTTAGACCTCGAACTTATTGTCTATTTATCAGATCATCTTGTCTATTTTCATAACTTACCCGGTTGTTCCAACAACCTTCTCATCATATTGGATTGTGGTCGAGAACTAGCCAGCGGTAAGAAACCAATCCATACCACTACCAACATCATTTTAACATTAAACATCATATTGTCGATATCCAAGCTAAGGGAAAAACTACAATTCGTGTGAGTATATATAGAGGAGCGGAGAAAGCGTACGTTGATTTTCTACGTCGATCAGTAAGTTTCAAAACTGCAGGAGCATGGCTTCAGATAATAAACTAGACCTGTTTTACACAGATTTTTCAGCTTCCTAGCTATTTTACGTCTTTTGCGTCTACAACATACATCTTAATATTTAGAAAGGTATCCGTAAAAGTAATATCTATGGTGGACCACACCCCCCACTGCCCCTTTATAAATTTGTGTCACAGTTTGGAATAATAGTTTTTTGATTTGTAAGAATAATGTCACAATATAAGACAATGTTTATGACCTAATAATAAACGCCCAGCCGACCTGTAATGGGGAAT